GGGTAATTTGGCCCTGCGCGCTGCAAATTGTACATTTAAACAATGACACAGTTTTTCCACTCCGTTTGGCAAACCCCTTGGTGTTGTCGGGGGTCCTCACTCCTCGCGGCAGCAACGGCCACGGCCGAAGGGTTAAATATAAACTTTAAACATTCCCTGTCCCGCAGGAGCTCCTTTTCCATGAGCCGAGGTGGGCTTTTCCCCCCTCTCCTTAAATAACGAGGGTGGTCCCAGCATACTCTATATCGAGACAGCTTTTCATCAGTTGCTCATCAGCATGCTAATTGCTGTATGACTAATTATGCCCTGAATTCCAGTTGATTTTCTTAATGAGACAGCTGGGTTAATTATGTAATCGTATGATTACATTAGCCCAGAGTGCCCTGGCGAAAAGGAAGGCGGGCGGGAGTGGGATGGCAGCGGGCGAGGGGCACGGGGGCAGCCGTGGCCATTTGGGCCGTAATGATCGGGGAGAGCGCCCGCGGTGTAAACACGGGATGGGATCGCTGGCACTGGGAGCTGTGCCTTCCTCAGCTCGCAGGATGAGCGAGGAATGGGAGATCTTCGACAAAATTCACTTGGGAAGTTCAGGCAGTCAGCGATGGCCCTGTTGTAACTCGGGGGTTGAGGGTGGGTTTGGGATGAGCGATGTCGGGGGTTGGAGTGGAGAGTCATTGAATATCCTGGGCTGGAAGGGGCCCGCAAGGATCATCGGTCCGACTGGCCCCAATTATTCCACCCCAGGCATCCCTGAGAGCATTTTCCCAAGGCTCCTGGAGCTCTGGCAGCCTCTGGCCGTGCCCATTCCCTGCAGAGCCCGGGCACTGCCCACCACCCTCGGAGGGAAGAACTTTCTTTTGATATCCAACCTGAACCTCCCCATACACAGCTCAGCTCCAGCTGTTCCCTCCTGCTGTCCCTGGTCATGGAGAGCTGAGATCAGAGCTGCTGACCCCAGTGAATCTCCCCTCAGTCTCCTCCAGCTGAACAAACCAAGTGCCCTCAGCCACTCCTTGTACAGCCCCTCCTGACCCTTCACTGTCTGCTGTCCCTCCTTTGGACGCTCTAACAGCTTTATATCTTTCTTACATTGTGACACTCAAATCTGCACCCAGGGTGCTGAGGGGCTGCCTTGTATAATGCGTAATTCGGGCAAAATCAACCTTAGTGTTTCTTTTAAAATTGTTTGTGAAGTCAGTACTTTACTTACCTAAACAGCAGCAAAAAAAAAAAGGTTCCCTTGCCCTGCTGCTGAAAAAAGATTCATCGTCAGGGCACGTGCGTGGTGTGAGAACAGCCTGAGAGGTGTTGCTGTGGCTGCGTCGCACCAGCTCATTTGATGTGAAGTATTAACTGCTATAAAAATCACTTCACATTTGTAACATTAATTGTTTTCGTGTCTGCGTCCACTGAGACATGTCCATCCTCCTCCTTCGTGGGGACAGAAGCTCCTCTGCCAGGGGACAGTGTGTGTGCCTGCAGTGAGCAGGGATGTGCCCAGAGCTCTGCAATCCTGGGGAAGGGGAGGCAGGAATGGGCTCTGCAGGGTTGGAAATGCAGGGTTGGAAATTCAGCGGTTTCAGTTTTGCTGTGGTGGCGTGGAGGAAACCTCGTCAGGGATCAGATCCAGATGTGCTGGGCTGCCTGCAAGCACAGGATGCAGGGGACTTCGCTGTGGGTATGGCGTGCAACAAGTGGATTAGGAAAAACGAACAGAATAGGAAGCAGGAGGAAAAAATGCACTGAATTTAGTGTAAAAATAGACATCTCAATCTGCTCTTAGGCAGTAATGATCTTGCAAAACGCTTTTTCAAGTTCTGGATGATCGGATCCCTTTTACTGATTTTCTCTTTTTTTTAAATTTTATTTATCCCGTGCCCAGCAGGGATTCTGGAATTTCACAAGAGAAAATTCAAAGCAGGGGAATAATGTGTGATGAGGTTTCCATATTTCAGCGTTCAGCGAGGTGATTTTTCTCTCTTACAGACCACAGAAAGGGCATTTCCTTTGCTGCCTCTCTCCCTAAGCCAGGGCCAGCTGATTTTTTTGAGCTGTGGATGCCTGTTGTTTGTGTAATGAAACGAAAGTTTTGGTCCATTGCTTGTTTAAAAATTCAGTGACCTCCTGCTAAATGACATGAAACATACTTTGCAAACCTGGTTAATATAAAAAGGTATGCTTTTCCATGCATGCATGTGTTGGGAAAAGGAGAGTATTTTTATTTATTTTTAATCCGCTCCACTCAGGTAGGAAAAAAGCCATTGTGACTCTAAGGTTTATACTTGTTTCAGGTTAATTGGTCTTTATAAATACTCCAGAAATAACAGGTTTTTAGGCTTTTCGAGGTAAAAGAGCATGTTGGAGCTTGCCATGAGAAACGATTTTTCTCTCCGCCCGAAATGTCTTGGTCGGTCATTTTATTGTCGTACAACGATTAGTTTTCTTTCATGCTGTTTATAAAAATTAAGTCTAAGAGGTGCTTCACCCGTGGGTTTTTTTTACATGTCCTCCAGCAGTATTTGGTGGCTGCAGGCCATTAGTCCTTCAAATAGGCTCTAGTGAAGTTTGAAGTTTAATGCACAGAGACTTTTTTTACATTTTGTTTGTTCTGCCGCTGTTTTGCTACTTGAACATTAACCTTTAATAGAGCTAAATTAAATATACATGTCCTGATGAATAATTATGAGATTGCAAGCATTTTCATTTTGTACACAGAGCTTCTCAGGGATTGCAAATTTGACTAAAGATTTAGTCATTATTCACTTTATAATGCCCATATTATTTTTATTTTTTAATTCTTTGCTGATTTCAATATAAAAAGCCCTGTGTATTAGGAGCAAAATACCTCTTGTGCGTGTCCTGGCTTTTTACAATGTTAAAATGAGGGTGGGGGAAAGTGTACCCACAATTTTGTCAAGTTCAGTTTCTTTCATCACTATTTCACAGAAATACCCACGGCTGAAGCTTAAGATGCTGTGCCCGATAGGATCCGTGGTTTCTGTAACAATTTCAGACGTGGCCAGGGAGAGACAATCCGGCCTTTCTTTGTGCTCAGCAGATGAATGTCCCAGGCTGGCTCTTTGGGGGATGCTGAGCTGCAGGAGTGTGACAAAATGCTCCTTGCAGAGGAAGGTCAGGGACCTCCATGGGAGCAGGGGAATGTTGTGACAGCCCACACCGTAACAGGACCATCCATAAACACTGCAGAGCCTCCAGCCCGTGCTACTGCTGCCACTCCAGCTCTCTATTTAATTCCTTACCTGTACCCCCCTGTCTCTGCCACAATAACATTTTAAGTTTGATTTATTATAAATATTTTAATACAGATAATAATAACGAAAAGTATTTGGCCTAAAAAGCATAAATGAAAAAGCTATGTAGTCATAAACTATGTATGTACAGAGAACAGATGACAAGCAACCTAGATTTTGTATTATGAACAGGGTAATGCCATAAGCTGTTGAAGAACCCAAGTAACAAAATGCAGCAGGCTGCTACTTAGAATGTCTCTGAGTTCAACATAACCCAGTGCTATTCTTTTATAAACTATGCAACAACGCTGGCATATTGAAAAAACACACAGGCTCATGCTTAATGTGTTAACAGAGGTACAATAGACTTATTATGTGTTTCCAGAGACTGGAACTGAGGGTGGTCTGAAAAATTAATGACTGTGGTGGTTGAAAATTAAGTGAACTCCCTAATATATACTGTTGTTGATCCACTGAGTTTGGTGTTTAGCATTCCTCAACAGGAGACTAAATCTTTGCAGCCATTTCACAAGAGATGCTGGCGCCCATAGCAGAAATATATTGAATAATCTTTTATAAGTCCATCACACTCCAGAGTTTTCCTATCCTGACTGGGAAGAAATCCCAGAATAAATCACACTTGCACGTATCAGGTGTGTGCTGAGAACTCTCTTTACCAGAAGGGGATGAATATCAGAGAATTAATACTGTACTGAGAGGACTTTTGATTAATAGTGTAAGAGAAAGAGAGATCCAAACCCAAGGTTCATGGAATTGATTACATCCACACAACATTTCTGATTATTATTGATCTGTCAGTTAGAAAAAGTACAACTCAGATCTCCATGGTCACAGAACTTGTTTGAGCTCTGCTGTGCAGGAGGGCACAGTTTGCTTCAGAAATTCACTCCTGCACGAGCAGAGTGAGGGACAGTAGCTGACAGTGAGCTATGCAGTTTGGTTGCTTTTCACCCCAAAATTCTCATTTTGCAATAAAAACCATGAAGCTTAAAACTCTCACGCGCCTTTTTATCATGACTGTCTGCACCCATTAACACTGTCCTGGGGATTAGTGCCAGGATGGAGAAGTTGTGTCAAAATTTCATGGAATCACAGAATGGTTTGGGTTGGAAGGGACCTTAAAGCTCATCCAGTTCCACCACCCCCTGCTTTGGGCAGGGACATTTTCCACTATCCCAGGCTGCTCCAGGGGCAGCTGCAACCAGGACAAGTTGTGCTGGGACCTCAGCACCCTCACAGCCACGAATTTTTCCCCATTATCCCATCCATCCCTGCCCTCTGGCAGTGGGAAGCCATTCTTCCTTGTCCTGTCATTCCTGGTCCTTGTCCCAAGTCCCTCTCCAGCTCTCTTGGAGCCCCTTTGAGGCACTGGAAGGAGATTTAAGGTCTCCCCAGAGCTTTTTCTTCTCCTGGCTGAACACCCCCTGCCTCTCAGCCTGGCTCTGCATTTAAAGGGAACATAGATAGAATGAAATATTTCTGGTTTTTTTAAGTTTGCAGGATATATGATGTGAGGAATGTACAGGTCTAATAAGTCAAAAAGGGCCCTGCTGGCACCAGAATGGAGAAAAAAGGAAAATTGTCCTCTGAACTGCTTGGGTCACAGAAATTTTATTTTATTTTATTTTATTTTATTTTATTTTATTTTATTTATTTTTACTGTTTCTTTTTTTTCATTTTATTTTACTGTTTCTTTTGTTTGATTTTATTTTACTGTTTCTTTTTCAGATCCAGTTCCAGCCTTGGATTTGGGGCAGCAGCTTCAGCTGAAGGTCCAACGCATGCACGATATTGAAACAGAAAACCAGAAACTGAGGGAAACTCTGGAGGAATACAACAAAGAATTCGCCGAGGTGAAAAATCAGGGTAGGTTGCAACCACATTATCAGCTCTTAATGCACACTGAAATTTGAAGTCAAGGATTGAATTCAGTTTTATTTCTTAAGGTAGAGGTGACAGTAGTGTTGAAATTCAGTAGAGAAAGTGCAATAGTCTGTAGGGCCACTTCTGTATTGTGTGTGGAGCTGAGCTTTGGGCAGATTCTTTGGATTTCTTGAAAGTTCCATTTACTGTAGCAGCAAGTCAGAGGATGGAGTTGTTATTCTGCATATTTGGTTGTAGCCTTCAGCACTGAAAATTACACCTGACTGACGTTATTTGTGACATTTTGTGAGAGGCAGTGCTGGTACTGACATCAGGCTGAACGTGGGTGTTGGTACTTGCAGGATGTGCAGCTTGCACAGACAAACACAAAAATTCAGTATTTTGTATCCACATATGAATCTGTACAAAATGGAACTTTTTCTGTGCTGTTTTTACTTATCTAAATGTACTACTGGAGTACATTCAGCATATGCACTTTATTTTTACTCTGGAGACCATCCACAGAGCAATGTAAATACAAGCTATTACTGTTAAATAATTTAAGTTTTAATGAGTCTAAAGTATATGAAAATACATGAAAATCTCAATGAGATTTAAAGCCTGTTGGCTTTTAGACTGCTTAAGTTTTCTTGTGATTCAGTTTCCTGCACCAGGAAAAAAAATTCTCAGCCATACACTTTGTTGCCCATCCATGAAGATTTCCATCTTTAATGCCCAGTTCTGGATGGTAGTAAGGTAAATTGTCTTGCCATTTGGAAAAATTGAGATTTTAATTTATTTTTTACATTATGGAACTGTTGCACCCAAGTAACATTTGAAAGCTGCGTTAGCAACTAAGTTCATTTTGTTAAATCTCATTTTTTGCTGAGGGAACATCTATGCAGTTATATCTCTTGAAATATTAATTTTTTGATGTAAAGGGTGTGACCCCTGGAGAGGACAGGTATCAGCATGCCAGGATTTGGGCTGGACTGCAGGAGATGTCATGTTGGAACTGTAATGCTCTAAGCAAAACTGTATTTTTTGCTGGAAATGTACAATCATTGCAGTTCACTGTGCAGAGTTTTCCTGAGGCTGTGCATCCAGTACATCCAAGCATGACATAGGGGTTCATCCCACAAAGTGGAAAAGCTCTTGACTTGTAGAGTTTTTTGCTACAACCACTCAGAACTGACATTTTTGATTTTCCCTGGTGTGCTGGAACTTCCTCTCCATTTCCCCACTGTAGCCTTTGTAATTTTGTTGTTTTTCACTCCAGTGCAGTGGTTTTACTCTCAGTTTCAAACAGGGATTAATAAGCCATCCAGGGAGAAGGCTGTTGTTAGCTGAGGGTGCTTTGATCAGTTAATCTCTTTGTTTGGAGGGTTGGTATGAGCTCTGTGGTGCCTGTAAGAACTTCTTCCAAAACTGGTATAAATGGCAGTGCCTGACAAGCTGTAGCTGACCTGAGCATGAAGAAGGCACTTAGTGCTTCAAGCAATGTAGAGGATTCAGCTTGTCCAGCACATCTATTGTTAGGTGCTTAAAGGTAAAATCAGATTTTATTAAAAAAGTTACATTTTCCCCCATGTTCGTGCACTTCTTGTGTTCGTTTTCGTTGTTTTGTTTTCTTTTAAAATCAGACATTGAAACTTAGTCAAGGTGCATTTCTGTGAGATTATTTTGCTCTCTGCTTCTCCATAAACCAGAATATTTGTGCAGATTTACATCTGAAAAATATAAAGGTATTTATATAAAATACAAACACCTGGAGCAGAGGTGTCCCAGGAGGGAGTGCAGCTCCCTTTGCCCACAGGAGCAGCATCCTCCTGTCAGTGCAAAGGAGCATCCTTTGCTTATTCAGGAAGAGCTCAGGATTTGTATGACTTCCCAGATCTCAGGGAAGAATTTCCCTTTGCTGAAGAAAAAAAAAAGAGGTGACGTGTCCTTTTCACGGCCTGTTACTCAGTAATGAGCCTCAGCTGATTTCTGCACAGCCAGCAGAACCCTGCTCCTTCAGGCAGAGGCAGCTGCTTTGCTGGCAAGCATTTTTACCACTCTTTCCCCCTTTTTTGTGGTCACAGTGGCTCAAGCTGCCTTTGGTAGTGCCCAGACAGCAGATCATGTCACCAGCTACCTCCTGTCTGCTTCACAGCTCCTTGCTCAACTCTCTGCATCAGGATTTTGAAAAGATTATGTGTGGGTTTGTGTGGTATTATTGAGGGTTTTTTCTCCCAAGCCCATAGGGTTTATTTTTCATATCAGGCTTTCTCTTCCTAAGGTTTTTCTGCAGAATATGAAACTTTTCACATCCAAAAGTTTTTATTTTTTCCTCAAGTATTATTAATGGTATCTGTTAATAAGCTGATGTCTTTAAGCCCCCCTGCATCCTGGTATGAATACTCTGAACTGAGTTGCTGCTATGAGTCTTCTGGCAGTCCAAGGCTTTTTCCAAATTCCATTATTGTTACAAAGCATACTCTGGTGGATGTGCTGCTTTTCCTCTTGTGAGCCCTCTAAGGATTCAGTCCTTTCCTGTGGGTGGGATCACAGGGCTTCCACGTAGGAACAGTAAGGAGATGCTGAGCTGGAGCTCTGCAGGTTTCTGCATCTGCTCCCATCCACTGCTGAGCATGAAGAAATGCAGGAGAGCTCCTTTATCCTAAGGAGGGGTTCTGCAAATTCCCTGGTTTAACTTTCAAGTGTCTCAGAAAGTTAAAATTGTCAATGTTTGTGTGTAAACCATGGGATGGAGGATGAGGCAGCGACAGCAACTGGGACATGCAGAGCTCCAGTGCCTGCTGTGAGTGCAGCAGTTGGATCCCAGCAGAGCTGTGTCCCAGAGCTGTGTTCAGTTGGAGTGAGAGCTGTGTCCCAGAGCTGTGTTCAGTTGGAGTGAGAGCTGTGTCCCAGAGATGTGTTCAGTTAGAGTGAGAGCTGTGTCCCAGAGCTGTGTTCAGTTGGAGTGAGAGCTGTGTCCCAGAGCTGTGTTCAGTTAGAGTGAGAGCTGTGTCCCAGAGCTGTGTTCAGTTAGAGTGAGAGCTGTGTCCCAGAGATGTGTTCAGTTGGAGTGAGAGCTGTGTCCCAGAGCTGTGTTCAGTTGGAGTGAGAGCTGTGTCCCAGAGATGTGTTCAGTTAGAGTGAGAGCTGTGTCCCAGAGATGTGTTCAGTTAGAGTGAGAGCTGTGTCCCAGAGCTGTGTTCAGTTAGAGTGAGAGCTGTGTCCCAGAGATGTGTTCAGTTGGAGTGAGAGCTGTGTCCCAGAGATGTGTTCAGTTGGAGTGAGAGCTGTGTCCCAGAGCTGTGTTCAGTTGGAGTGAGAGCTGTGTCCCAGAGATGTGTTCAGTTAGAGTGAGAGCTGTGTCCCAGAGATGTGTTCAGTTAGAGTGAGAGCTGTGTCCCAGAGATGTGTTCAGTTAGAGTGAGAGCTGTGTCCCAGAGATGTGTTCAGTTAGAGTGAGAGCTGTGTCCCAGAGCTGTGTTCAGTTGGAGTGAGAGCTGTGTCCCAGAGATGTGTTCAGTTGGAGTGAGAGCTGTGTCCCAGAGCTGTGTTCAGTTGGAGCGAGAGCTGTATCCCAGAGCTGTGTTCAGTTGGAGTGAGAGCTGTGTCCCAGAGATGTGTTCAGTTAGTGTGAGAGCTGTGTCCCAGAGATGTGTTCAGTTGGAGTGAGAGCTGTGTCCCAGAGATGTGTTCAGTTGGAGTGAGAGCTGTGTCCCAGAGATGTGTTCAGTTAGTGTGAGATTGCATCTGTGCATGAACCATGGTGGAACTGCCTCACAGGGCATGAGCACAGTCAGGTGAATGAAGTGTCCTGTGTGTAAATGCATACTTAAACCTGCACTGGGACTTTATTAATCTTCTCTCAGCACTCAGCTAATTTTAGGCTAGTCAATAAGGTGATATTATATTTTACAATTGATTTTTTTTCTTCTTTAAAAAAAAAAAAAATTCATGTTAGAGGAACCTTCTTCACTCTGCTTTCCAGCAAACTCCATTGATCCTTCTCAACCTAAACACTTAAAGTTCAATTTAACATTTAGGGAGTAAAAGGTCTCCAAAGGGACTCATATCCATTGATTTTGTGTCAGAGTTGAAGAGCTAAAGTTTAAAACACACTGAGCCTACAGGGTAAAGCAAGCCTTGTGCTGTGGAACCACATGGAGCTGTGTAAACTCATTCTTCCCCTATTGTTTTCCTGCAGAGGTTACAATAAAAGCACTTAAGGAGAAAATCCGAGAATATGAACAGACCCTGAAGAACCAAGCAGAGAACATAGCCCTTGAGAAGGAACAAAAGTTACAAAATGATTTTGCAGAGAAGGAGAGGTGAGTGTGGGGTGTGTGTGTGTCTGGGTGTTGGGGAGGAGCAGAGAGGTATTTTTCTGTTTAATCTTCCCAGGCAGGACTGGGGACAGCTGATCCAGTGAGTGATTCTGGGATTTATGTGTTTGACACAGGATCATTTGATCCTCAGCTTTGCCCAGGAAAACAGTCAGGAGAGTGTGGAAGTGAAACTGGGACAGATTGTCTCTGTGATGTGGTGGTGGGTGTCACACCTGCTTTTATTCCTCCCCGGCTCTGTGACACCCACCTGTCTCCATTACCAGGGCAATTCCTGTGTGTCACACAGTCAGGGCCAGGCATGCACCACCCCTGCTCCCCTGGCAATGCCTGAGACAGGGGATTATCCTGAGTTATCCTGGGAAGGTTTGCATCTTCCTATGTGCCAAAATTAAGAAGGGTTTTCATTATTTACTATCAATTAAAAAAACCCCAAACATTTTGGATGCATTTCTGATCTTTTGCAAATGAGCATGGAGCGTTTGAATCTTTAGGTTGGTGGGCAAATAAATCAGGCAGGAGAAAACCAAGGGGCTAAAGAGGGAATTCTTTCAGGCTGCATTCCCTGCCTGGAGAATTTATTTCTCCCATGGAGCAATAACACTGAGGCTATAATGTGTTCAGCACAGCGTGGAAAACCTTCAGTTCACGTGAGCTTTACTTGGAGGGTTGCTTGTTTAAATTCAGGGCTGAATGAGGAGAATCTACCGGTGAATGCAAAGCTTCTTTTTTGATTCATCAATACCTGTGGCTGCTATTTGATAAGCAGCTTGTAAGCAGACTGCAATTTCAATGTACCTAAAAATAAAACAAAATGGCAGGTCGTGGAATGCAAATAAAAATGTGTGTAAGAATGGTTTTGGGATCTCAGAGTAAATGGTTCAGTATGAAGGGAACTGACACATGATTCTTGCTATAAATAGTTATTAACCTGGTCAGCAGTGTTGGAGGAGAAATTTGTGCACCCTATGGAGTGCAGGCAGGATGCTGGTAGTTTCATAAGCCATTTCACAATTCTGAGATCTGCAGAATATCCTAAAAGCAGTGTTGTAAAAAGCACGGCTCCTGGGAGATGTTGGAGCAGCTCCTTTCAAAGATGAGTTTTATAACTCCTGCAGCCTGGCCCTTAGCAAGCAGTGCAGTGGCTGCCTGGCCACATGATGTAAAAATGAATTTAACTGACACAAACAAGAAAATGTTGCCTGTGGATGTAAGAAATGTGAGCATATTAAAGTTTTGCTCCTTTTCTATGGAAAATATCACAGTGAGATTTGTTTTGAAATATGTGTGTTTTCTTAAAGAGTAGCTAATAATATTGCTGCATTTGGCACCCATTACAGCTCTGATGAAACAGCTGCTGCATCTATTCACTCTATCAGTTATGGCAACAAATTCCTTCATTATGACACTAAAATGGAAATGTATCATTCTTCTTGTACTAACTTTGTACAACAGAGGGTGCTTGGTGACAATTTTCTCAATGTGTGTGACATTTCCAAAACAAATTATGCTCAAGAAAACCTTCCACTGAAGTTGTCATTTATATAGCAGTTAACTCTTTATAACATTCACAGCTTATGTTATGAGGTGGCTACACTGTTAAAATTTTAATAAGTGGGACCACAAAGTAGGAGCAGCATCTCACAATTGTGACAGCATTTATGGGTCCCACAGAAGCACCTCAGAGCCTGTGTGGTGTTGGCACTTGTCTCATTCCAGGTGAGACATGTAATGGCTCCATCCCCCAAATCTGCAAGGCACGGATGAGTTTGTTTGCTCTACTCTCACCTCTGCTCTCCCCTTGACAGAAAATTGCAGGAGACCCAGATGTCGACAGCCTCGAAGCTGGAGGAAGCCGAACACAAAGTTCAAGCTCTGCAAACAGGTTTGGCATGGCTTTAGTGACCTTTTCCTGGTGATCAGGGTGAGCTGAGAGGACAGGGTGTGTCAGGACTGGGTGTGAAGCAGCTCTTGGTGTGCAGGGAGGTCCAGCAGAGCTCAGATGTGCTGTGTGAATCAGAACAAACGCTCCTGTTGCAGCTGTCGTTGGCAAATAACAGGGACATGGCCATGGAGCACACACAGAGCACCATGGAATTACAGCAGGCCATGGAACTTACCCTCCATGTGTGTTCTGCTTCCACACATGTCCAAACTGTGATAAATATCTGTATGAACCACATTTCTTGCCTGTTGCTATGACTTGCCATTAATTTCCATCTCTGCACACTTCAAAATTCCAGGTCTGGACACATTTGGCTTTGTTTACTATGAGAACAGAAGAAATTTTACTCCTTGAACTACTGCAATAAGTATTTCAATGGAATAAGCAGTTTAGCCAGCTTAATAAGAAACTAATAATGTCTAGCTTGGTTAAGCAGAAACTGGAAATTTTTGCAATGTAACAGAAATGCCGTAAGAAATTGTGAAAAAAATCAAAACCCTATGTTTTTTTATAAGCCATAATGGTTTGCCTAGGTAGAAAGATAAAGCTAAGGAGGTCTATAGCATTATTTTTTTCATCAGGAGATGTACAGCCTTATTTATGACTGAATACTGCTATTTCAGTACTGTAATGCTTCATGTTTATGCCTTTTAGCCTTGGAAAAAACCAGGACAGAACTATTTGATCTGAAAACAAAATACGATGAAGAAACTACTGCAAAGTAAGATTTCCCTGTTTTCTTTCTGTGTCTTCCTTCAGGGTATCACTGATTTTTTTGTTCTGCATCTGTCTGTTGGAGAGAGATGAGATGAGGGAGGCTCAGGCATCCAAGTTTTTGGAAAACATGGTCATAATTTGGCCTCCTATGGAGAGATTATTAGTTTTTATATTTTCTTCTCCTCAACAAGACACTTCTCCTGGCGCACAAGCTGCTGCATTCCTGGTTTCATTCTCAGGTGCTTCATCTGTGTATCTCTTACCATCTATATCTCCTGTATTTTATTTAGAAATAGAGCAGTTTCAGAAATAAGGTATTCATTATGATCTTCCCATCTTGGTGAAAACAAAGCTTCATTTAGTAAAGGATTTCTGTTTGATTCTTAGGCACCCTGGTTCTTTCTGCTTTTGGGGTAATAGTCTTTGCTCTGCCAGGTTCACCCCTAATTACAGAGAGCAAAATTTTGGGCAGATTTTCTTTGTTTTCAAGTAGAACATGAAGGTAGTCTTAAAAATATATATTCTTGTCTTGTTAATAGCTACTGTTTCCAATTATCCTGTGGTTTTATTAACCATCAGGGCAGGGAACAACAAAAGAGACAGACTGCTGCTGGTTTCCTTTGAACCCTTCATATTTAAGGAAAGTTAATAATGAGAAGGAATTCTCATGATCAGTGGGATTAAGCACAAAGAGTCATTTCAGTGTCTGGAAATGGGATGGGAATGAAGCAGCCATTTCAGATGGTTGGGACACTCAAGGGAAGGGCTGGGACTGAAAGTCACCTCCCTGTGCCCACTGCCTACTGTTAAAAACCAGTCAAAGTGGCACTAATTTTAAATTTATTACCATATGGTTCTGTGGCTGTTGAGGATCTGATTCCCCACTGAGGATGTAGTTCACAAAATTCAGCCCATAGTAGTTTTAACCATCAGCACTTGGAGTTTAAACACCTTTTCTGTCCTTCAGGATAATCTTTCAGGTGAATTTTGCTCTGGCTCTGGAAGTCCAAGTTTCCTTTGAGCTCCATGTAAGATGAATTCCATGCAGAGGGATCAAAAATACTTTTGTTCCTTCATTGATTCATCCCTCTCTGAGGGATGTAAACAAAAGCTGGTTCAGATGGAGCCTTAAATTCTTGCAGATTGACTTTGTTTTTTCCTGCACATAACTGATATTGTTGTTGTTATTTCATGTTGCAGTCACTTCTGGGAGAGCAGGCAGAGATCAGTGGTTGTAGGCACTGAACCTAATAACCTCTCACCCTTTTTAATGTGTTTATTTGCAGAGTGCTTCATTTTTTAATACTGTTTCCCTAAGTGCTGTAATTTATCTTGCACTGAGCAAAATCTGTTCACTAAAATATTTGTTTGCACTTCTAATCTCATTTTTTTGGGGAGATTCACACAGAAATATTTGGTTTTTATATGATCTTTAGAGTGACTCTTACCCAATTTATATAGAATTACATAAAATTAGTAGCATCTGCAGTAACAAGATGTTTATTGTGTTCTGTAGCAGAATTATTATGGGGACTGGGTCTGGAATAAAATGGTCATGGAGCAGAATCCTGAAGCAGACATTAAAGCTTGTACTTTATCTCCCAGACTAATGTACTGTGAAAACAAACTTGTAGGTCCTAATAACAGCAGAAGTATTTTATCATTGTTTTGGATATTTATGGCAGGAATAGTTCTTGCATAACAACAGTTGTCTGTAGTGTTTGGAGCCCAAATTTTGCAATATGGAAATCTAGAAGAACATGAAAAGGGAACTGAATGTAGACAGTGAAATTGAGTCATCTATTTTAATTGTAAAAACTGGGAGAAAGGCTGAAAAAACACCAATAAAAAGGGTGAAAGACAGTTTGATTCTTTTCTTAAAAGAAGCCCTCTTTTGATCTAAGTCTGAAAAGCTACTTGTATTGCCAATTTTAATTTTATGTTTTAAAAACATGTGATTTTTATCTTAGGCCAGAATTGTTAGTTTTACAGATGCTTATTTGATGCAGATGAATTGGAGTGCCTTCAGGAAAAAAAACAGATAATTGTCAATATTTAAAAGCTAACAGTGCTTTTAAGATTTTCAGTCTCAGAATAAAGCTGTCTTTCAACTACTTGAAACTTTGAAAATCTTTCAAGCGAGGCAAAAAACCCCCAAGAAGCAGAAGAAATACAGAGTGAGAAGTCTTCATTATCAGCATTAAGGAGTCTGGATTTTATCCTGGAACCCAGTTGTGGTGATCTGAAAAGTTGGGAATCGTTATGTCAACTTGTTTGTTTTATCTTTTCACAATGTCCCATTCAAAGTACTGTACGTGCAAAGGGAGGGACAGAGGCACAGGCAGGCACCTTCAGATGAGATCAGTGGCTGGAATGAGAATTTCCAGGGCAGTTCTGTCATTCCTACAGACAGAATCCCCAGCAGGTGGGTGTGGGCTGCCCCTAAGCCCCAGCACAGCCCCGGGCCGGGCACTGAAGGTGTTAATGACAAAAAGAAGTTTATTATGTGCAGTCATTGCAGTCTGTCAGCTGGAATATCAGAAGCTGCCTTTGACAAGATGGCAGGAGCAAAGTTTTCCATGTGTAGGCTTGAAGTAAAATGTAATTAGCCTTTATGTGCAGAACAAGGATCCATTGATGAATACAGCTGGTCTTTGTTTTCTTCTGTCATTGAGTGTGGGAGGTAAAAGTGTTCTTCTTCATGTTTATTAATACAAGATTCCTTAGACAAATGGCAAGCACAGTTTAATATTTGTTGGAACACAGAGGGGCTTGCCAAAACAGTTGTTGTGTAAGAGGATTTCAAGGTTTTCAGATTATAATCATCTCTGGGTTAAATAAATGAATGATTACTCTGCCTTTTTCAATTAAAGAGGCGCATCCTCTCTCTTGAGGCCTGACACTGATTTTGTTTGCTGTCCCACACGTTTCTATCAGCAAAACTGGGTTTAACCAGCACTAATGAGTTTGATCTGGAGATTCTATCAGACCTGGATCTGAAAAACAAACTCTGACTTGAGTTTCAGCAAAATTAAAGAATATTGGGGTTGTTTGGTTTGTTTCTAGTGCAACAGACTTTCCTTTTACTTTCTTTCTTTGTGGAAAAAGAAACGTTCTGTATACATTTCCTCAGTTTTCCAGGGACAAACTGTTCTCTCTAACAGTGCTCTTTCACTTCTGCTTTGCTGCAGAATCCAAGCAAGTGCTTGGGATTCCCAGCTGGAATGGTTGGATTCCAGTTTTAGATCAATTCCAGAGCCACCTCTTTGCTCTGACCCCTGCTCTCCCCCAACCTAAATGAATTCTAATTGGAAAAGGACCTTGGGTTGCAGCACATACAGTAGGCTTGTTACATTACTGTTAACATGTGGGTTGAGGCTCCCTGCCTTTGATGAAAGAAAATATCGAATTTCACTGAAATGCTCCATTTTCACCAGCCAGCTTTAAGTAGTCTTGTGAGGATTTCTGGTACTGCCCACTCTCCCTTCCCCCCTCAGTTCTGCAATAAAAAGCCTTCATAAACAACACAAACCAGAAAATGTTTAGGTTAAGGTTGTCAGTCACTACCAGTGGATTTTCTGTAAGATTCAGACTTTTTATCCTTCTAAAAGTAGCACAGGAATGCAGTGGAGAAGGAGCTTTTCATATTTACTGAAGCAGTCATCCAAACACAGCTACTTTCAATAACTTGTAGAAAAACATTTTGCCTCCAGTATATGGGCAGAGAATTGTTGTCCTTCCATAGATCAGACTGATTATTGTTTATTTTGGCAGCACAGCTAAGGATGACACAGGAGGACAATGAGAACAGGAGGAGATGCCTGTGGTTTTTGGCTCTTTGGGGTAAACTCTGCTTTTCTTGCACATTATCAAACAGACCTGTCCTTCAGGCAGCAGGGTAAAATAAAGTTCTGCAGATGTGCTGTTCAGCATGGAAGGAGTGCAGGATTAGGAGATGGGACCAGAAGTTGTAAAGAATTCCTGAAGAGTTATTTCTGCCTGGAGTTACATGGTGGAGTTGCAGTATTCATATGAAATCTTCAAATCTGAGTTAACTTGGACTTCAGGGGAATAATTCCCAATATACAGTGAGAATTGAATTATTTACTTTTTTTTAAACAAATCTTTCTTATTTAAGTGCTGGCTGGTGCCGATATATCACTTCTCAGATGTTTGTAGTCTTCCATTTTGGTGGTGCTCAGGGTCAAACTGAATAAAAAATAAAGTTGTGCTCCCTCCAGCATCACATAATTACTGTGATCAATGGTCTCAATGCTGCTTCCCCCCATTGAGCCCGAAGTACTGTAGTTAGGGTGGTGGTGTTGGACATGAAATAACTTTTATTTGCTGTGCCTTTAAGGTCTTAAAGTTCCCTATTTCCTGTTCCTTTGATGAGTCATTAACTTCTAATGCTCAGCTCTGGAATTACTGCTGTATTTAAAGTGATTTCCCTAAAAACAGGAGATGGAGAACTTCATAGGCCATGTCTCTTTTCAGTGTTTTTCCCTCAGTTTCTTAGTCCTGCTGCCACCAGTGAAACTCCAGGATTGGTGGCGAGGAGAGGATGAAAAAGTAGGGAAGATGTTACAGAGAACTAATTTTTTTTAAGAAAAAAAAGTGAAGAGAAATGGAATGTTTTGAATCTTACAGGAAGCTCTGTTGCATGTAACATTTGAGGTTCAAACTTTTAACTGTGCCTTATGCAAAACTCACCAGGCTGAAAGTCACCATTACAACATTAATATTTGCTTTAAAAACTACAAGTGAAGATGAATGGAAACACTTTGGAGATCTGCTTCTTATTTTGAGCAAAAGCTTTGGTGTGAAAGAGGGCTTGAGAGCCCATGTGCAAACCAGCCCTTTTTTGTCACAGTTTTGGTTCAGCCTGCAGTGACACCAGAAAAGCTGCAAAGTTGTATGGGATGAGAATTCAGTGTTCCTGTAAAACACTTGGCATTAACCTTTACTTTTGGATAGGGAAACTGAGGCACAAGGAGTGTGGTT